AAGAGCCTAATTTCTGCTCCTAATCAGCAGAAATGTACATTTTTTTCTTCTTTTTACACCAATAAATGACAGTAAAATGTTTCCTCCTTTTAATATTTTTATCTAAAAACCAAAACATTTGTTTCCTTGTATAAATAAAGGCCATTAAAGCCTAATTTCTGCTCCTAATCAGCAGAAACAGACATTTTTACAATAAAATGTCTATCTCCGTCCATCCTCCTTTTAATATTTCCATCTAAAAACCAAAACGTTTTTTTCCTTAGGTAATTAAAGCCTAATTTCTGCTCCTAATCAGCAGAAACAGACATTTTTACAGTAAAATATCTGTCTCTGTCCATCTTCCTTTTAATATTTCCATCTAAAAACCAAAACGTTTGTTTCCTTAGATAAATAAAGGTAATTAAAGCCTAATTTATGCTCCTAATCAGCAGAAAAATACATTTTTTTCTGCTTTTTACACCAGTAAATGATAGTTAAATGTCTTTCTCTGTCTATCTTCCTTTTAATATTTCCATCTGAAAACCAATTTTTTTTTTCCTTTGATAAATAAAGGTCTTTAAAGGCTAATTTCTGCTCCTAATCAGCAGAAACAGACATTTTTTCCAGCTTTTTACACTAATAAATTACAAAAAAATGTCTATCTCTGTTTATCTTTCTTTTAATATTTCCATCTAAAAACCAAAAATGTCCTTTTCCTTGTATAAATAAAGTTAATTAAAGCCTAATTCTTGCCCCTAACCAGCCGATTGGAGCAGGAAAAGGCTGCGTACGTACGGGGGATGCGTGCGGAGTGCCAGGGCACAGAGTTGGTGATGTAATCGGGCTTTGAGGCGCTGATGATGACCCAGGTCCCCACGCGGTACGGAAAGCCCACCCGGACCACGCCGTCGGCGCCGGCCCCGCCCGAGGCCAGCAGCGTCTGGTTGCCGTGGACGACCACCTGGGCCCCGCCCGAGGCCGGCGGCGTCTGGTTGCCGTGGACGACCACCCGGGCGTCGCCCAGCGCGGACAGGTCGCTGCTGTCGAACACCTGGACCCTAATC